TAGTCGTGGTAGCAGTAGTAGCAGTAGCAGCAGCAGCAGGAGCAGGAGTAGTGTTAGTAGTAGCAGCAGGAGTAGCAGTAGCAGTAGCAGTAGCAGTAGCAGTAGCAGTAGCAGTAGCAGTAGCAGTAGCAGTAGCAGTAGCAGTAGCAGTAGTAGTTGCCGTAGTTGTTGTTGTAGCCGAAGTAGAAGTAGTAGTCATCATAGTAGTCATAGTAGTAGTAATGATAGTAACGCCGCCTAGACCTGTAAACCCCGAACGCTACTTTACCATGATCGGGGTTTCAAGGAGTATCGAGCACCTTTGCTGCCTTGTCCTCATGTTCGGACAAGTCGAACGGATCCCATTCTCATCAAACACACCAACGATGTAGCCCCCTTTCCTACGGGACCCTCTACCCGGACTGTAGGATTCTCATGTTCACGTGCTCTCGTGGTAGGGGAAGCCCAAGTTATAGCCAGGTAATATGCATAGTCTCTTATGCATCATCTTTTTAAGTGGCACAAGAAGTGCCTGATCAACAAACGTCTATACCTTGGATGCCAATTGACATACAAACTTCAGTTTGTTGTGCAATTTGAAGCCACTACCTCACAAAGAACCAGATTCTGAGACATTCCCAATGCCCGCAGTTGGTTCTCTCCTTTCAGTGCAAGGCAGGTCTCGGCCGGTTCTGTGACAAACCCTAGCAGGGTGGTATTGTTGATGCACACAACCCTGCATGATGCGCTAGACCTAAACCTTAAGAATTATGATACTTATTATATGGTAGTTTCCGTCAATAGGGGGACCCCAATATACACCCCAATAGATTCTAATCCTTATCATAAAGCCACCCCAAAAAGGTACCCCTACTTTTGGGAAGCCCCAGTGTTTCGGATCATGACGGGTTTTGTCCATCAACAGCAGGAGATCTCGAGGACATATGAGAATCATATTGGGTTGGAAGGAGCGGGGCGGGGGGTGCTCAGAGAATAGTAAGAAGCTACGTTATGGGCTCCTCCTTAAACCCTAAACCCTAAACCTCCTATACATATAATCCAGGCCCCTGATTAATAAATCCCCTCCCCTTAGTAGGGATTATAATAGGGATCCTATTATTGAGGTCCTTAAAAGGAAGGGGTTTATTAATCACGGTCTACATTACCTGATGGCAAAGATCCCTGCCCCTCGGAGTGAGTGGCAAGAACGTTTTGCGTTAACTACGTAGGTTTGGGGGTCTTTAGTTTGGAGGTTAGGATTTAGCCTGTGCCTGTTCAAGTCTCATAGCATCTGAGGCTCTGGGAACAAGACACGGTAAGATTGGTGGTGACTATGTCCAGTCTAAACTCCTTTAGGGGGGTTATATAAGGGATTAAAATATAGAGGTCAGGGGCTTGTTAGGAGCTTTGGCTCTAGCTCATGTCATCTAGAAGATCATTCTCCTTTTCGTAACCGTAGGAGCGTAGCAGCAGCAGAAGCAGGAGTGGCAGCAGTAGCCCCGGCTGCAGGTCACTTTTGGAATTTTTTTTAGGGTGTAGGTTGGGTACTGCCCCCCCTCAGTAACACTTGGATGATCACTATAGTATGGTTATATATAGCCCTTAATAGGACCCCTTATATAGACTATAATTGGGTGGTGGCAGTACCCAAGGTGTAGGGTTTAAGGCATCAGGCATTCGGACGCTGCTAGGGAGTTTGGGAGATATCCTTGCTACGTACTTGGTGGTTCTGCGAAGTTTCTTGGCGCTTCTATTTGCCTAGCATCCGAGTATGCCTTCATCATGAAGCGGACAGAACAACAGCAGTAGACCATGGTTTCTTGCGAAGTGTGATTACCTGCTTGTGTACTGCTAGAAAGCTGGCATGCTCGTGCGCGGCGGTGGATACTAAAAGTCATGATGGCCCCAAGTGTCCGAAACCTTGGGATTTGTGGTATTAAAGCACACCAAAGTCATGTAAGATGTTGGGTATAACTTGTAGGTACTTCTGTTTACACTCCAGGCTACTTGCGCAGCCCAACTCGCGGGACCTTAAACCACCTCCTTGTCTCAACCCCTAAAGCTTTAGACTTTCCCCTGAGCCCTACAGTAAGCTAGGGTTTAGGGTTTAGCATTGGGGTTATACAGGAATAATGGAAACCGTAGTATATATTGGGGTAAATGTTAGGGTTATGTTTAGGAGGTCATATTACTTTTACGACACTCCTAAATTTACAGGCCCTAAACTCTATGATGTCCGTACTGTTGATACTAAAAATCTTGCATGACCTTAGTATACTATGGTACCATTATTCCCAAGGCTTAGGGTATTTTGGGTCATGCAGATTTTTCCCTATATACCCTATTGTACTATAGTAGCTTCCATGTTCTTTTGCATTGTCCCAATATAACCCCAATTTTATCTCAATATAATCCCGATGTACTAAACTTACAGGCCCTAAACTCTATGATGTCCCCACCTCCCAAAACCTCTACTAGCCCTCAGTCCTCTGAAGGGTCTTTTTCTGCAGAAACCGCTTGCCAGGGCTTCGTCCCAAGGGCCGGTACCACAGTGCTGGATTGCTCAGACCCTCGGCCTAAACCCTGTGTATAGATATATATACATATATATATATATTTCTTTATTTACATACATATATATATATACATATATACAGTATATATATATATGTAGTAGCTTCCATGTTCGTATCCCCAGACCCTAAACCCTTAAACCCTGTGGTAGTTTCCATTTTATTTTCCATTATCCCTGAACCCAAAAACCCCTCAACCCTATAGTAGTTTCCATTTGCTTTTCCATTATCCCTAAACCCTCAACCCCTAAACCCTATAGTAGTTTCCATTTTATTCTCCATTATTCCTAAACCCTAAAAGCAAGCTTCGAGTTGAGGGCTTTGCGAGATGGTGGTGAGGTAGGCTCTGTTTGGGTCTACGCAGCGAATCGAGGGACATAGGCGTAATTATATAGGTGGTTGTCAAAATTATGGTCCCTTTTTGGGTACCCTAAATATTAGGTGCCGTATTATGATAGGGATCAAAAAGGGACCATAATTTTGACAACCACCCATATGGAGATTCGGGGCTAAATTTGTTGCTGGGTTTGGAGTTGTAATGATTGGGAAGCTTTATTTACTTTACATAAGACTGGTATTGGGTCAGTTTACGGGAAGAATTAGATTTTACCAAGAGTACAGAACGTATGCGGGGTCCCTTTTTTGGTTGGGGGCCCGGGGGGCTCAAACCGCACGAATCCTACGTTTCGTGGGATATTGTCAATACAACACGAGAGTCGGACCATGCGGTGCCAGATCGATGCGCTAATGGAGCTTCATGCCCATGACCCATATGTCAATACCCCATATGTCACTTATTGACTGCAGCTCTTACAGTTTTTTTGCGAAATGGGGTAGCAAAAAATGATTCCCACATCATGCGGTCCGCTTCTTCCCAAGAGCCAACTTGTGACCGTGCCGGGGTTGACGGGAGCGCATTCCAAGAGTTCAGAATCTCTGGATGACAATCTCCTGAAGTACGCTGTGTTCATGCTTTCATTAAACATGAGTGCTACTGGCAAGGTTGGACGAACGATTTGGGAAGGCAAGCTGTGTGAATATACGAAAACCCCTGCTTGCGGCTGGGGGCCTTAGTATGGGAGGTGAACCCGAAACGTAGTGCTGCTGGAGCTTCATAAGCTCACATGAGTTCTAGCCTAAACTCTTTAAAGGGTGATTTTATTGGGGATTATATAGGGGACTACTACAGGGATTACCAAGGGGGATACTCGGATTTGATTATAGCTCA